GCTAGGATTACAGGCGTGAGCCACCGTGCCTGGCCTATATGACAGCTTTTAAAGACAGTTTTTGTACCTCTCAAGTTGCCAGGTTGAACCGTCTCTGTGCTTCCAACCATTCCTCGTTGCGTTGGTTTCCATGCCTGCCTTGATCCTAGTCTGGCCCCTGGATATACCACAGTTTGTAGTTATTCCCTTGATAGTACGCTGCCTGGAGCAGATACAGGCATGGCCAAGCTGAGTAGCGCTGTCATCCACCTGTGATCCTCTCCTGTCCTAATGCAACCTAGAATTGTATTCTTTTGGCATCTATTATTATGTCTTTGTCTTCTGTTGAGTTTATCATCAACTGAAACTCCTAAGTAGCATTTTTTTCTTTTTTCAATATGCATGCAGTTGCTAAGCCATGTCTCCCATATCCTGCAGTTGTTTTTTGGTCTTTAGATCTATAGATTTCAGCTTTTTTTTTTTTTTTTCAGAATTTATATTAACATGAAACAGAGCTCTTCTGTTGGGGCAATTTCCAGGAGAAGTAAGGAATGATGTGTTATCAAGCCCTTTCTAAGTCCCTGAAAGTCCCTTGACTCTTTTTTTTTTTTTTGAGACAGAGTCTCACTCTGTTGCCCAGGCTGGAGTGCAGTGGCATCAGCCTAGCTCACTGCAACCTCAGACTCCTGGGCTCAAGCGATCCTCCTGCCTCAGCCTCCCCAGGAGCTGGGACTACAGGTGTGCACTACTACACCCTGCTAATTTTTCTATTTTTAGTAGAGACAGGGCCTCACTCTTGCTCAGGCTTGTCTCTAACTCCTCACCTCAAGTGATCCTCCCACCTCGCCCTCCCAGAGTGTTAGGGTTAAGGCCTGAGCCACCCCACCCGGCCTTCAGCTTCCTTTTAAACAATTTTCTTAGTGACCTTCTGCTGTGGGTAACTTCAGTTTTTATACACAACATAAAGAAGCCTCTTTTCAGTGTCTGAAATAAATTGAGCGTATATAATAGTTGTACCAAGGAAGCAACAGAGTGGTTTATTGCTTGATGGGGAAGGGCTGGGGAATTTATCAGTCCCTGTATTCTGTCCCTTCACCTTCTGTAATATATAGGTGTTGACCTAAAGGAAGAAGCTGAGGCACAACATATAATCTTAAAGAGTTTACTTGAGCCAAAGTGAGGAAAACACTCAAAGCACCTGGGAAAACACTTCCAGGTTGTCTAAGGAAATGCGGCCTTTGTCTTTTGTTATAAGCAATTTTTTTAAAGGCAAAAGGGGACAAAGAGTGGGCTGACACAAAGTTGTTCGACAGGAATTCTCCTTGCTTTACAGAAATAACATTGATTAGTGATTGGCTGTACATTGTTGAACTATGGGGTATGAGTAATGAGGTGTATGGCATTTTATGGCTATGTAGAGTCGGTTAGACTACAGCCCACATAGCAAGTGGATTCAAGAGGCAATTGTTTAGCTCAAGGAAGGGGTGAGACATGACAGCCATCACATTTTAATGCCTCTCCGGGCCTGATAATTTACAGGGGGCTTGCATTCCTCAGATACAAAGTTTCTTTTCTTTCTCACAAGATTCACTTGGAAGGTTCTATTCCTTAGATGCTTTGGTATGTTGGAAGAGACTAGAAATTGGCTGTTGCTTGCACTAATAATTATGTTTATTGATTCCTAGAATATTAGCACTAGAGGGGAGCTGAGAGATATTTTAGTCCACACCTTCCTCCCCTTTTTTGCATATTCGGAAACTAAGGTCGTAGACAAATAAAGAAAATTGTTCAAATTTACTAAGCAAACTGGCGATAGAGGCAGGCTTAGAACCTAGGCCTCCTGACAGATACAGAAATCAACTTACTAGCTTTCGCCTGCATAGCAAGAGGTTTTCAACTGCTCCTGTTAAGATACTTCGTACAGTTTTTTTTCCTGGCCTTCTCATGAGTTTAATTGCCCCAGAGCTCGAAGACGTCCTTGTTTTGGTCCAGCGTGTGAGTAAAGGAAGCCCTCGTAGGTTTTTAGCTGAGTGACTCTGGCACTGAAGCTAGGCAGGATCCGCCCTGGGATTTCCAGGCCCTTTCCTGGCTTTCTGCCTAGAACTTTCCCTGTGAGATTGCTTGGGGTCCTTCCTACATTACAGTTGGTGGGAGAAAATGAGATCTCCCGTGGATCGCTCTGGTGCCAGGGTTGGGCCAGTTTCCAAAAGAGTCCCTGGGACGGGGCCTCTGGGGAGCCCTCAGCAGGGCGTTGTCCTCTGGTGGCTCGTGTTGGGTGCTGGGGCAGGATGGAGTGTTATGATGGCAGTTGGAGGTCCCGTCTCCTCACAAGACAGCACGTCAGACTCAGGCGGCGGTGGGGGCGGGGGTTGCGTCCAGCCACATCCTGGAGGACAGCCTCACGGGCAAGCAGCTGCACCCGTCTGCCAAGGGTCAGAAGGGTTTTTATTTGTAATTTTTAATGTTAATGTACCTTCTTTTCTCATTTGATTGCAGATTCTTGGAAAGTAGGAAGTTGACTGTCTTTCATTGTACTGTAATACTGCCTCTTAGCAGCTGGCACTGTATTTGGCAGATGTTTCCAGATTCAGACAGGGCATCAGGAGATAGATATGCTTCCTGCTTTGCCACTACGTAGCTGCAAGTGGGGAAGGTCACTTCATGTTTTGGGGTTGATTCTTCATCCATAAAATGAGGGGTTGGAGTGACCTGCGAAGGCTCTTTTAGCAATGGTCTCTAGGTTCTGGGGGACTGTGCAACTCCAAATGTGTCCTTACTGTGTGTCGTAAAGAAGCCCTTGTCCTTCTCCTTTCCTTTGACTAGTAGCGTTACTGAGAAAGTCCACCCGGGGACACCACCCTCATTGTCCTTCCAGCACACAGGAGGAAGGTTTTCTTCTCCCACCTTCTTTTAAAAATGAGCAAACCCATAAAAATATGAAGGAAGGAGGATTGTGGAGGGGAGATGTTGAGACAGGGGCCAGGGGTGAGCACCCCTCGTGCTCCTGGCCTTCCTCTGAGCTGCTTTCAGCGACTATTTTTCAGTACCTCGGTTGGTAGCAAGAAAAGAGTCACAGGGTCAGGAGATGAGAGTTACCGATGGCCTCTAAAGAGTAGAGGGTAGGCCTGAGGTCATGGCAGAGAGAAGGAGAACATCGTTCGTGGCTCTGGGACCTGGGGGAGTTTGAGCAGAACTGGATGATGCAGAGGAGATTTCTTGAATGCCACAGGGTACTCTAGTGAAGGCAGAGGAAACAGAGGATACGGGAGAAATATCCAGATTCTCACCCACTGAGAGCTTGTTCTTGGACGAGGTGGGTGTATATACACTTTAACTATTGCACAAGCTTCAAGAAATAAGCTCAGAGAAAGGAGTAAGTAATCGTGACCTAAGGAATGGGGAATGCTTCCTGGAAGGGCTTCTCTGCGCTCTCCCTCACCCCTCCCAAGCAGTGCCTCACCTGCTTTGTCCAGGTGCACTCTGTCAAATTTAGACATTTATGAGTGCGGCACCGATTGGGAAAGTCGGGAGGCAGAAGCCGAGGGAACCCAGCCCGCCCCCGTGCACTTTGCACTTTCCCATTTCCCTCGGTACCAGGCACCCTCATACTAAATCCGCAGTGCAGCTGTCACAGAGCAACCGTGACAATGACTGCTGCTGCCCCAGAGTCCACCCCAGACATGGAGCTGCAGGGCCCAGCTGCGGGAGGTTTTAATGCTAGCCCTCCCCCCGCAGCTGCCATGTCCACGCAGAGACTTCGGAACGAGGACTACCATGACTACAGCTCCACTGACGTGAGCCCCGAGGAGAGCCCCTCCGAAGGCCTCAGCAACCCCTCCTCCCCGGGCTCCTACCAGCGCTTTGGGGAAAGCAACAGCACAACGTAAGTATCACTTATCTTCTGCCCTCCTGGGTGGGATTCATGTTCCTGAGTCTCCCTTAGACTTATTTTTCTCTCCTCTCCTCCATTTTGTCAGTCCCCCACTTCACACGTGAACGTAAACAATATGGAGATTAGGCGAGTGATTGTCCTGAGATTTGCCCTCCTTGGCTGCCATGTTCTAGTCTGTTTCTTATTCTTTGTTCCTTTTAGCTGTCTTGGTCCCACAAAGCTGGGGCTCAGTAAGCGCTTGCACTTAAGAAAAGCTTCTAGCAAAGACGTTCTCTTAATTCTCTTAACTTAGAACTGTGTGGCATCTGTACCAGAACCTCAAATAATCTCTAAGCCCAATCGGAAGCCTCCTTTGCAAAGTCTCTCCCATACTTCTGCCCCACGTTGCCAGTTCATTTGGCCGAAGAAGGGGGAAGAGGGAAGAATAACTTCTGCACTTAAAAAATTCAGGGGTTAATAGAGAAGAGAAGATCCACTTTGCATTCTCCAAGGAGGGCCTGAGTCTTGTCCCTGGAAACTAAAACCCAAGCCTCATCTGGGCTGAGTTTGGGCCTCAGTTTCCCTACATGTAAAGAAAAACTAAGGACCCCACCATGAAGCGATGCTGACTCTGTGGTACTCACCACTTGAATTAGAACATTCAGAGGAAGATTTTCTTCTACTCCACCGAGCATCCTGGCTACTCTCCAACCTCAGCAGACTTCTGACATTTCTCTGGTCCTGGATTTTGCAGCCCCCAAGCTTAGCTATAACCCTCTCTGTGCTCCCTCGTGGGTGGGGTGTGGCTTACTGAGGGCACCTTCATCCCCTGTCACCACCCAAGGGGACCATGGAAGCTTCTCTTGAAGCCCGTCTGCCTGCCCTCTTCTGGCGCAGGGCACTTTCTCTTGTGAACTGGGATGGAACTAGAGGATATGGCGCCCACATTCCCGGCCCCTCACCACCACTAGCTGATTTCTGCTCACAAAGGGCCTGTCTCACAGCTCATGGCATGCTTGTGTAGATCATTTGCTTGCATTTGTAGCTGACGGGAAAAATTGCTTAGACCACACCTGGCAGCAGTGTGCTCACCCTTCCCCTCTTTCCTCTAATCTCATCCACCCCATTGGCTGCCCCTGGGCAGAAGGAGCTCCACACACAGCCAGTGGCATGTGACAGCTTCCGTTTAGAGGTCACACTCATTATTGTGAAATGCTTCTTCCAAGCTTCTCTCTCTATAGCTTCCCTTCCAGTTTCTGCTGCTTCTTGTTCTCAGGCGTCAACTTGTCTGTGTGATACTTGCCAGATGGGATCTGGATTTTCATTTTCATAGAGACTTCTTTGAAGCTCAAAACCAACCAACTAGAGCCTCCAGGATAGTAGCTCCTAGGTTTTGGACATGTGAAAGCTGATGCATGCCTGTTAGCCATTCTGAATATCTCTTTTTTCCCATATTGGGCTATCACTAGTGGTCAACACAAAATTATTTCCCCTCGTTTATTGGAAATTGAGCAAAGCAGAAGATACGTTCGTTGGACTTATATTGGTACTTTTCCAGGGTATACTTTGTTCTGAGGTTTCCTTCCTGCCCTGATACTGGGATACAAAGTGGGTGACCAAGAAAACACATCTGTAGGTGATGGCAAGTATCGCAGTTCCATCACAGGTGATACAGGGAAAAGTATTTCATTAGGATGGGCTCGGAGGACTGGTTGAGTACTTCCAGGCTGGGGCATAGGATTCACACAAGCAGTTATGTAGAAGACATGCTGGGTATGATTAAGGTGTAAGTTGATTTGAAGAACCTTGTTAACCCAAATAAATCTCTACTACATAGGAAGTGTGAGGAACACATTTTGAGCTGGGTTCATTTTCTATTTCTACCTTGCCCCACCCTATTATCTAGTTTGCCAAGGAACAACATACATGGAAGTATTTCTTGTCCTACGGTACATATGCATGCACACACTGGCTCTTCTGGAAGTTAAGGGCTCAGTAAAAACCCCTAATTAGGGGGCGTAAATAGGAACCCCAGACATTTCCATGATATGTGTTTAGTGAGGTTATTTCCTAACACTTGATGCCATCAAGCTATGGACTGCTTTGGAGACAGCCTCATTTAGTGCTATTGGGCAGATTTTTCTTCTGTTGCCCTTCTGAGTTCCATTATACCAGCTGTTGATTGAGCCTCAGTGATTCTTCTCCAGGCTGGCAGGCTGAGACACCAGCTGACCGCAGCTGGCTTTCTCTAGGTGATCTGGAGCAGCTGTTTGCAAAATGTGTTCTGCAGACCTTATGGGGTTCCCAAGAAGTCTGTAAGGTCAAAACTATCTTTATAATAGCACTAAGATGTTGTTTGCCGTTTCACTGTGTTGATATTTGCACTGATTGTGTAGAGTCAATGGTGGGTAAAATTACAGGCACTGTAGCATGAATCGTGGCAGTGGCACCAAATTATACTCGTCATCATTGTATTCTTCACTGTCACACATGTGTAAAGAGAAAAGCAAATTTTGCTTAAGAATGTGATGAAATGATCAAATTACTAATTTTTTAAAATCATGACCCTTCAGTACAGGTCTTTTAATACTCCATGTGACGAGATGGGAAGTACGCATGAAGCACTTTTAGCACATACCAAGGTATGATGCTTGTGTCAAGGCAAAGACCGTGAGTGATTGAGTCGTTAAGTGAACTTGCTGCTTTTTTTTTTTTTTCATAGAACACATTTTTACTAGAAAGAACAACTAATGAACTATAGATTATTCAGACCCAGGTACTTAGTAGACATTTTCTTGAAAATGAATGAAATGAGCTCATCACCTCAAGAATAACAATCAAAAATGTGTAATTGTTACCCACAATAAAATTCGAGATTTCAAGCAAAATTGGAAAAAACTTATGTCCAGCCCCATGAGCTTGACGGCTTCCCTCTACTTAAAGACTTTTCTGGTGAGATCACTGGTGATACTATGAATGTGATTTTTTGATATTGTATAATGAAAGGTGTTAGCATTTGGAAGATCTGTGTAATTCAGGGAACCAGCATCTTCCAGATAACCAAACGATGATGTTAGGAAATTGTGCGTGGGTAAAAGATCCATCGAAAGAGCAAGACCATCAATGGATTTTAATGTACTAGAGTAAGAAAAGTTCAGCTTCCACACTGCAGCTAACTTCTAAGAAACTATCGTATATTGCATTTTGGAGTAGTGTCAAGGAAAAATTACCATAATTGTCTGAAGAGGCTATTAAAATACTCCTTCCTTTTCTGATTTCTGTCTACAAGAGAACACATTTTTTTCGTATACTTCAACCAAAACAATGTATCACAGTAGATTGAACTTAGAACCAGGTAATCCAGCTGTCTTCTGTTATGTGAGACATTAAAGAGATTTGGGGGGAAAAAAGAAGTAAGACAGAACCATTCTTCTCACATGTTCTTTTTTGGAAAATGGAGTTCTTTTTCATTAAAAGAAATTGTTATTTGTATTAACATATTATGAACTTATTGTTATTTTTAATTAAATATCTTTAAAATTCCTCAGTTTTAGTTTTTTAATATAGTATAATACATCAGCAGGTACAATCCCCATAAGCATCATCTCTGGTCTCAGGATACCTTTATTCTCTGATAAATTATTCAGGACCCTTATCAGAGAATAAATTTCTGGCCCTGAGACCAGAAAGTCTAAAAACTACTGATGGACCATAAATGGAACTCCAGAGATCTGGGCTCCTCTTTTCCCTTTCCAGAAAGATAGTTCACCTTGCAGTTAAGACTGTGCAGTCCAGGAAGCTGATTCTGTGATACTCACAGAGCACTGGGTAATCCCTGCTTGGGGCCGTCTATTAAAAGGAGTCATTGTGGCCAACTGCCTAGAATCCTGGTGTTTGAGCTGAAGGCACCGTGGAGAAGACTTCTGTAAAGACCTCTGTCTTTACTGAGGAGACAACAGGGCCAGAGAAGGGAGGGAGGGAATTGTCATCTGGAGGCGAGTGCAGAGGTAGGGCCAGAGGGACCCAGTCTCCCACTGGGAGGTCTCTGGTAGGCAGTGGGCTTGTTATAATGCGTACCTTTGCCCTAAGTGGATTACACATTTGCTAAGATAGAAATTTAATAGGCCCATTATCCTGCTACTGATAATGGGCTCTTGCAATCCTCAGGATGGGCAGGAGAGCACTTAACCTCTTCTCACTTAGAGTGGAAATAGTTCCCTTGATCTTTCCTGAAAAGGCTGGGGACAGCAGGAAGACCAAGAGATTTTCTGAGTGATTTGGGGCAAAGTAATGCTATATTTGACCTGTTTCCTATCCTTCTGGAGGTAACAAAGGATGGAAAATGCTGAAGACAAGCCCCCTCCCCTGTCAGTCCTTTGATGAGTTTCCAATCCCAGTAGAAAGAAGAGAAATTCCCTGCCCACTGCACCTTCACCCTTGTCCTGACTCGAGTGGCCACTAAACCCAAGTACTACTCCCTCTGGTTCGTGCCCCACGTGTCTTTCTGGGGTCTTGTTCCCAGACACTTCCCTTTGCCAGAGGTGTCTTCTCCCGCAGCAGGTGTTTTGGTGCTGCTGGTCCTGCTGGTTTCTTCCGCGGTGTTTTCTCTTCTGCCCGCCTCCTCTGCTTCCTTTCTTCTTGCTGTGTTTTGTTGGTGTTTTTTTCTTGACGGCGGTGTTTTTTTTTTTTTTGGTTGTTCTTGCTTCCTCCTGTTTTTTTTGTTGCGTTATTATTTTTTTGTGGCGGCGGTGTTCTGCTTCTTCTTCCTTCTTTTTTTCGTGCTGTTGTTACCGTCTTCTGCCGCGGGTGGTGGCTTCTTGTAGGGTGGTGGAGAGTGGTTTGTTGGGTGGTCCTGCCTGGTTTTTTTGCCTGGTTGCTCTGTTTTTTAGTAGTGTTGTGGTTGTGAGCTTGTTTCTTCATCCTTCATATAATATCTTCTTGCGTTGTTTTTTTAATCAAATAAGGTAATGCATGTAAGCACTTAGTGTAGTGCTAAGTGCTCAGTGAGAGTGAGCTATCGTGATGGTTAATGTTCCCTTTATCTTCTTTCTACTTCAGATGGTTCCAGACCTTGATCCACCTGTTAAAAGGCAACATTGGCACAGGGCTCCTGGGGCTGCCCCTGGCAGTGAAAAATGCAGGCATCTTGGTAAGGGTCTGCATCGCTGGGGAGAAGTATTGCGACAAATTTTGGGAGATAATTTTCTGTTGTTTTTAAAATTTACTCGGTTTTTAAACATTGTTTTTTTAATTCAGCTGAGAAGAAGCAAAATTCAGACATTCATTTATCTAAAGATATATCTATTGAGAGTCTTCTGTGTGCCAGGCATTGCTCTAGGCTCTTAGAATAGAACGTATCCATGAATTAAGCAAAGATTCCCACCCTTGTGGAGCTCACTTAGTGGTAGAGACCATGTGCTTAAAACGGCTCAAGCAGTTTCCCCCCACCTCCCTGAGCCCATCTCTTCTTCCCACAGAGTCACAGGAGCTCCTGTTCTGCTCATTGCCACAGTCTCAGAACAGACTTATCTTGTGTTCTTCTTCTCCACGAGATTAAATCTCTCCAAGTGCAGATAGCGCCCATCTCACGGAGCCTGTCTCTGCGATCACATTTCTCTCTCGGAGAAGTTTTGGCAGTGGAAAGTGCCTTAGCAGCATTCTAATCATTTGCAAATCATGTTCTGATTGGGCTCACCCCTAATTCTGCCTGTTTATCTCTCCTCCTCTTGCCTGCAATGCCTGCAATGCCTAGATGGGCCCCCTCAGCCTGCTGGTGATTGGCATCGTGGCTGTGCATTGCATGGGCATCCTGGTGAAATGCGCTCACCACTTCTGCCACAGGTGAGAGCCCTCTGAGCCACCTCTCGAGGGGCAGACTGTCCTTTGGGGTTTTGTTACCAACCTTGAAAAGGGAGCACTTAGGCAGACCACTCTGTTCCTGACACTAGCTGAAGGTGGTGCTCAGTGTTGCAGCCTTCCCTTTCCCGGGCTGTTGTTGCCATCTTTTTCGGCTCATTGTCATCTGTCAAATTTTCTCACGTCCAGTGCATAGACACCACATTCTAATCACCAGATGGTTGTTCATTACAATGACAGTAACTATCCCATCAACTTAACATTTCTGATCCTTGAAAGCATTAGATACAGGACTCAGAGTGGTACCTCCAGGGTGACAGATGGGGAATTGGCCCAGGTCTCGGTGGCTGAGTTTGTTCTGTCATTGTCCTGGTCTAACCCACATACTCTGCTCTTCCCCTTCCCCCAGACTGAACAAATCCTTTGTGGACTATGGGGACACTGTGATGTATGGGCTAGAATCCAGCCCCTGCTCCTGTCTCCGGAACCATGCACACTGGGGAAGGTAACTCGTTTCTTCCTTCTTTCCAACCGTGGCCTCCCAGCGTGGAGGTATGATGTGGGAGACTGCAGGGAATGGAAGAAGTGTTGTTTGGGTCAGTGGACTTGGGTGCTACCTCAGTTCTGCTGGGGTGACCTCTCCTTTCCCTGGTTCTCAGTTTCTTCATCAGGAAAACATGGACCCTGGCCTGAAAGGTCTCAAAGGTCCATTCCAGCTTTGGCAGTCTTTGACCAGTGATTGTATTTGTTTTTTTTTTTTTTTAGAGACAGAGTCTTGCTCTGTTGCCCTGGCTAGAGTGCCGTGGTGTGTCAGCCTAGCTCACAGCAACCTCAAACTCCTGGGCTCAAGCGATCCTTCTTCCTCAGCCTCCTGAGTAGCTGGGACTACAGGCATGCGCCACCATGCCTGGCTAATTTTTCTATATATTTTTAGTTGTCCGGCTAATTGCTTTCTATTTTTTTTTAGTAGAGACAGGGTCTCGCTCTTGCTCAGGCTGATCTTGAACTCCTGACCTCGAGCGGTCCACCTGCCTCCCAGAGTGCTAGGATTACAGGTGTGAGCCACCGCGCCCAGCCCAGTGATTGTATTTGATTCACTGTTCATTCAACAAATATACTTAAGCACTCTCTTATAAGTGGAACAAAACAGTTCTATTTAATAGCCAGGGAGGGGAGATTTTCTGTGGTAAATTATGTGGTCCTCGCCCTCCAGGGGCTTGTAGTCTGCATAAGGAGAAAGATATGTGGGAAGAGAACCAGAGAACAAAATGAGATCAGACACCAATAGGAAGAAAGTGTCATGAGCTAGGAACACATCCTCGGTGCTCAGAGTGGGAGGAACTTTAGAGATTCTCTCGTCTGACCGTGCCAGGTGAGAAGCACACAGTAGATGGGAGAAGGAAAGGCTTCAAGGAGGAGGCGAGGTGAGCTAGAACAGGGTAGGAGTGTCTGGAAATTTCTCCTTATGGTAATTTTTCAGATGCCTAGAGGGGAATAGTCTACTTTTTTTCTCCTTATATTTAGATGTAGGAAATTGAGACCGTCATGGGCTGAATCCTTTTTTTAAAACATTAAGCCACATTAAAACAATGTTCTCTAGAAAAGTTTCTTTTTGTGATCATAGAGGAAACTGTCACATGCATTCATAACTTCATCCTGTGATGCAGATTATATAAGTCTTTTGGCAAAATTATTTGTGACTGGGAGAAGCCAGATTGCAAATGAACACCATTAAGTTGGTTGGTTGTTATTTCTTTTTTTTTTCCCTCTCTTTTCTTTTTTCCTTTCTTCTACGCTTGCTTCCTTCCTCCCTTCCCTTCCTTCTTTTAGTAAAATGTGTGCTTTTTAAATCTGTGCTCATAGTAAAAGCATTTTTTTGATCAATACATAAAGTGAAAAGTAAAAGTGAGTACTGATCACAGTTGCACGAGTATCCTTTTGGAATTTTCTGTATGTATGTGAGCATACATATGTTTTTAAAATTTTTTTGCATAAATGGACCATACTATGTATGTTATTGGGAAACAGTAACACACATAGTATCTCCCTTAAATGTCTTAGACGTTTTTCTCTATCAGCACATATGCATTCAACACATTCTTTTCAACTGCTGTGTAATGTCCCATTTAACAATGGAAATAATCACTTTCCTTTTGATGACCCTTTAGGTTGTTACCAGCGGTTGTTGAACCAGCAATCTGTTTTGGTACATCTATTTCTATGTACTTATGTGAGACTAGGTTGGTTCTTGGATCCAAGTTCTAGAAAGAGATGGTGAAGGGATCCACTTCCTGATCTCTTACGTTGGTCGAGTAGCTCTAGGAAAAAGGTGTGGGGTGGGATAGGTGGGCAGGTGGGCAGGGGGGATGCCAAGGGGCTGGGCAGTGGTAAGGTGTCTGTGTGCCAGGAAGGGGACCTCAGAAACCACACAGCGAGCACCTCCTTCAGCTTCCTCCCAAAGCCCCAGACCAGTGGCACCTAGCATAGTTCTTCCTTTTACCAGGGCATGCTCATCTTTGTCACCTGCTGGGAATGGTCTGTGCTGGCTTGGGAAAAAGCACCATTTAAAACACTGGTCCGTCCGGGAGTCCTGCGTTTATATTGTAATGATCTTTATATTCTTTCCGTCCCCATCTCCAGGCACATCGTGGACTTCTTCCTGATTGTCACTCAGCTGGGATTCTGCTGTGTCTATTTTGTGTTTCTGGCTGACAACTTCAAACAGGTAGGGTACTAGTTAAAAAAAAAGAGAGAGAGAGAGAGAGAGAGAGAGAGAATATGGGAAGAAATCCTCCTAGCGGGAGATCCACTGGCCTTTGTTGGCTCAGAGGCTTTTCCTTTTACTTCCTTCCCCGCATTCTAGGTGATAGAAGCGGCCAATGGGACCACCAACAACTGCCACAGCAACGAGACGGTGATTGCGAACCCCACCATGGACTCACGACTCTACATGCTCTCCTTCCTGCCCTTCCTGGTGCTGCTGGTCTTCGTCAGGAACCTCCGAGCCCTGTCCATCTTCTCCCTGTTGGCCAACATCAGCATGTTGGTCAGCCTGGTCATGATCTTCCAGTTCATTGTGCAGGTACCAGCCTGGGCCCTCCCCCATCCTCCTGTTAAATAGCAAGGAAACAAACCAAACAGGTCAGTGTAACATAGTTGTATGTTACTTATGGCTGTGGTCCCCAACCCCTGAGGTGCAGGCCGGTACCAGTCCGCGGCCTGTTAGGAACCAGCCACACAGCGGGAGGTGAGTGGCAGGCGGGCGGAGCTTCATCTGTATCTACAGCTGCTTCCCATCGCTCGCATCATCGCCTGAGTGCCCCCCGCCCCCCACCGCCTCCATCTGTGGAAAAATTGTCTTCTAATGAAACCGGTTCCTGGTGCCAAAAAGGTGGCAGACCACTGACTTACGGCATATTTAGGTTAGAGATTTTTAACTTCCCCATTGTTGACATTTTGGGCCAGATAACTCTTTATTGTGGGGACTGTCTTGTGCAACGTAGGATGTTTGGCAGCATCCCTGGTCTCTGCCCATTAGGTGCTAGTAACAACCACCTCCCCTGACTTGTGACAATCAAAAATGTCTCCAGATGTTGCCAGACATCCCTGAAAATCAGATGACTGATTTAGCTTTTTTCCAATTAGATAGTTAACACGTGGTCATTGTACACAATGGGAAAATAGGGAAAAATATTAAGATGAAAATACAAATCTTTTTTTTCTAATTTGTATTTAGATAAAGTAATTCCTTATCAACTCCAGTTTTATATTTGTTTGTCAAAATCTTAAATTCATTTGTCATTCCCCCTGGCCACTTAGCCCTTGCGGGCAGGTCTGTGAACTGTGAGAGAAAACATCCGTGTAGAGATGAGTGGAAGATTAGGCTGAGAAAAAGGTGCCCTTAAACACGTGGCTGTTTGTGAAAAAGACAATGCGTTTTGCCAAGCCTTGTGAAGAGGAAAAACGTAAAAGCAGGCAAATACAAGTATAACTTAAAAAAAGCTATTTAAATTTAATTCCCCAGATAATTCGTCAATACATATTCATTAAAATGCAGACACTACAAAGGCCTCTCGAATACCACACCCCACACCCAGTGTCCTCTCAGGGACCCCCTCTGTGTGATGGGTCTGACTCGTTCCAGATCCTGTGAATGTATTTACACGCTATGTAAGTAGATAGAGAAATACATAAATAAAAGTAGATTTTGCTTTCATTTTTTTAAAGATAATTTAGAAAAATTATATGTAGTGTTCGTCTACCTTGTTTTTTTTACCCTGGAAAGTGCCTTCGAGAGCTTTCCAGGTTATCTGCTTCATCCTTTTTAATTGGTACGTAGCATCATGGAGAATAGCTGTTCCCCCGTCAGTCTGCTATTGGGTCATTTATAATATTTAGTATTAAATGTTAAGACAGTGAATGTCCTTTTGCATTTCTTTTCGTGAACATGTATTAATGTAAATACTTCTCTAAGATATTTCTCTAGAGGAGTAATTGCTGAAGAGTATGCACTTTTGAATATTTTATATTGCCAAGTTCCTTTTTCCAAAAGCTACTTACTCATTTCGTAGACACTCCCTTCTGGAGTATGTAAGTATCTGTTTTTCCACCCTTGCCAACACTGGGTAAATCAATCTTTTTAATTTGGTCCGTCTGACAGGTGCATGTTACTTCATTTCCACACAGTCTGCTTAATAGTGACCCAGTCACCCACGGCTATGGTTTCTAGGAGAACAGTGAGTCATAAAAACCAGGGACTGCCCATGCTGAGGAAATGACATTATGGATTGAGATTAACATTGTCTTCAGTGATCATTTGCTGTGTTTTCCGTGTTATGGGAAGTCAGATGAGTGGCAGATGTTGACTCTTCTACAGAATTATTTTTTCAAACATAGAATAAACAGCTCTCCATATCCCATTTTTTTTTAATCTTTTATTTTTTTACTCACCACTATACTAATGAGGACATGTCCCATTTTTTTATGGGACTGGAAGGAGGGCCGATGAATGCACAATTGACCATTTCCATTATCAGACAAGGAAGGGTAAATAAACCATGATTTCGCATTGTAATTGGAGCTCTCAAGAGTGCCTAGGATATACGCTGACGGACATTAAAGATGAAGCCAGTGAAGCTACCTCCTGTAGACAGGCACACGTGCCACATTTAATTTTAAACTGCGGCAGGCAGGTAGACTGCAGTGGTTGCCATGATCAGAGGGCTGGGATGAGAATTCGGGTTCCTGTAGCGCCTCCGTCCCAGCTGACTGGCAGTGTCCATCCAGAGCGATGTCTGTGCGTAGAGGCAGCCCTGCTGCTTTCCTGCGAGCAGGTCTCAGCCTGCCTCTGGGCTCACCACGTGCAGCGATGAAGCAGTGCTGTCTGCCCGGGTGCAGCGCAGGGGAGGAGGTTTGGCTCTGCGTTGGTGTGGTCACTGCCCATTGTGTTGTCACAGCTTCATTTTTGTGTGGCCTACAGCTAAAGATGCACCCTCTGGGTCATTTTGGTTGCTGCTGTTCGTTGCCACTGTTCCGTGTTGGCATTTTGCCCTGCTTCCCGTGAGCATTCCCCTGCCGTCTGATGTTTCTGAGTGTTTTCCCTAATTCTGAGCATGTACAGGTCTGATATTAAGATAATCTTGTTCCTCGTGCACATGCCATAGCAGGAAGCAGGCTGGGGTCTTCCACCTGATGGCTTCCCTGTGTCTTCAGCATGTGGGTGACGATGAGTGACACAGTTCTGGGCAGAGCACCTTGCCCAGAGGGACCTCCCAATAAATGTTTTATCACTGCGTATCCTTAATTCCGAGATGCACTTCTTCACAGTTATAATGATTCCGAAATTGGAGTACATCTCACAATCCACATGTACATTTAACAGCATTTTCTGAAAAAGCTGTTATTATTATAATTGACGTAAGTCCTCATTTAATGTCATCGATAGGTTCTTGGAAATGACGTATGATGAAATCATTTTTTTCCTCATCAATGTTATAATGAAATGAGGTTGAAGAAAATGACTGTGTGTCGTTTCAGTTGAAGTTGTGGTTTCCAAGAACCTATCGTCAATGTTAAGTGAGGACTGACTATTGCAGAATTGGGGAGCTATGTGGATAATGAGCTGATTTTAATTTGTGTGTTTTCTTATAAATTAAACTTTTCCCACTTGGCTGGGTTATGAGTCAGTAGCAATCAGTAAGTATGTAGAATTAAATATTTCTTCAGCTAGTGTCCCCTGACATTTGTTGTGAAATTCCCTGCCTGATACCTCAACCTGATCTGACGCAGGAACCTGGGCAGGAGTTATCCACTAACCAGCAGAGAGCACCTACTTCCAAGAACTTACGTTACATTTGTGACTCAGGAATAATTACAGAACAATCTTCTCTAATGTCTCATTGTAGAGCCAAAATACCTATTAGTCCATCTTCATTCCAGGTATCGAAATGCTGCTTTTAAAGAAGTCTAACATTTCTCAGCAGGGGTCCAAAGAAGAGTATTTATTTTTATTTTTTATTTTTCAAAAGACTGTAGTGTAGTTGTTTTGAAATCTTTTTCAAAGAGAAGCCTGTTATAGAGATTAATAATACATTTCCTTTTGTTCACCTGATGCTATTCTGGCACCCTGTTAGAGCATACTTCGTATTTATCTAAATACCTATATATTATAGT